CAACATTTAAATCGACAAAATCCTTGCCGCCCTAAGAATCTTCCTCAAGCTCCAATTCCAGTGCAAAATGCAAGAAATGTTACCCCAGAGCAAAATCTGCCACCAGCCCCCGAAAGCGATCTCATATCATTCGATGAAAACCTACCAATGTTTCAGCCAACCCAGCCGAGAGAGGCAGTCGACCTTTTAACTAGTGATATTCCAAATACAGAAGCAAGACCAAGCTCAAGAATTCAACCTAATAAAGAAGAAAAAAGAAGTCAATTTTTAACTATAGATGATTTAATAAAATGGATATCAAAACTGAAAAATAAGAACAATAAAAAGCTTAGATCAAAGCCAATTCCTAAAACTAACGAAGAATGGTACGATTTAATGGAAATAGATAATGAAAAAGATAGCAAACCAAGTGATGATGTGGAACATCTAAGCTCTGCTTCTTCAGAATATGATACTGCTGAAGAAGATCCTGATGTTTATTTCGAAAAAATCAACGATCTATACATTAATAGAATAACAGAAACTGAAAAATTTAATGAAGATGAAGTATGTGATTATTATGCTTTTGTTCCAAAAGAATATTATGCTGAAGGTGAGCCTTTAGCCTTCTTTGAATCAATCGAAGAAAAAATAGAGAATATATACAAAAAAGAATTAACTTTAAAGGGAGGGTTAAAAGTAAGAATCGTGTTATATGCATATATGAAGAAAATAGAGCCAGAAACCCAAGAACCTAAATATAAAACTTTTCTGTTCAAACATGAAACTATAGAAGTTATTAGAGAAGATCGAATTAACGCAACTATAGAAAAAGGATATAACGAAATTATAGACCAGATTGAGGATGAAGCAATACAAGAATCAGGATGGTCTTTTGTTCGAGCAGAAGAGGTATTTCTCGAAATAAGCGCATTCAGACCTTTGCATGGTAGTAGCTATTTATCTTTACCAGAAGCTTTGGATAAACCTCAACTAGGATTAATTAATCCTCAAAATAGAGACGATAATGAATGTTTCAAATGGTGTATAAGTGCATATCATATAAGAGAAGAAGCAATAAAAAATAATAGAAAGCCACCACATCTTAATGAAATCCATAGACTTAGACGAAATGCAAATATAGCAAATTATGAAGGCATAAAATTTCTAGCAACATTACACGATATTGATAAATTCGAAGAAATTAACCCTAACTATGCTATTAATATATTTAGACCAGTTTATAGTGAAGCTTTTGGAACAATAAAAGTAGATATAGACCCATTACATATTTCAGAACGAAATTATCAGGTCGAACATATGATAGATTTATTATATTTAACAGAAAGTGAGGAGAATTTAAATGATCGAAAAAATCCTAATGATATACCTGAAGGACTTAAAACACATTATATTCTTATAACAGATTTTACTCGATTGACGCATAAATGGAATAATCATCATGATAAAAAATACTTTTGCCGAAAATGCTTACGATTTCCTTATAGTTGACTAGATTTATTAGAAAAGCATATTCCAACATGTACAAGAGCAAGTAAAGAGCCACAACGATTAATCCTTCCTGAAGAGGGTAAGAATTATGTAAAACACAAGTATATCAAAAAT